ACTATTAGTAGCAGGGGTTTATCGCATACCATGCACTTGTAGGAAGGTATACATCGGAACCACCAGAAGATTCATGAAAGAGACTGCAGACTAGGCCAAATGGCAGAACATGCACTTAGTGAAGGAAACCACAGGATTCTGTTAGAAAACACAGAACTCATTCTCCACGACTAGGGATATCGTGGATACACATACACATGGATTATTTCAACAAAGAGGAAAAAGTTGTGAACCTCAATCGGATATAGAATCCCATTCTAAAATCTAGGATCAAGAATATCGAACAGCATGACAATATTAATACAAATTAACAAGACATTGCGGAATATTTTGTCCATAATTCTACTAAAATGGGCAAAAAGTTGACAAATACCAAAAATACAGATAGACAATAATTTCAGAGAAAAAAATTATTGAACTCAATTTATCTGGAAGATTGCACCGAAAGCGAAGTGAGAGAGGTGATTCTGAAATTTTTAACAAAAAAAGACCCCGGAATAGATAATATTGAATCCGAAACTTCAATCAAATTTGTAGACTTCATAGTGAAACCGATAACATTCATCAAAAATATATCCATTTTTGAAGGAACATTTCCGGATGATCTCAAATACACAATTATAAAACTTTTATATAAATCTGAAGATAAAAAAAACAAACTAATTACAGACCCATTTCCTCATTAAGCCATATCTGAAAAGTCTTTGAAAAAATTCTAAAAATAAGAATAGAAAAATATATAGAAAATATCATATACTTTCGGATAATCAGTATGGATTTCGCCAAGCCAAGTCAACACACGATGCAGTGGTTCATTTAAAAAAAAATATGGGACGATTGACATAGGAGAAACCTTATTACGTGTCTTCGTTGTCTTGGCAAAGACATTCGACAGAGTGTCTTCACAAATTACTGAGAGTATTAGAAAATATAGGTTTCAGAGGTTAACCATTGAAACTCCTCACTAGTTACTCATCGAACAGAAAACAGAGAGTTGAAATCAATAGTTCATTCAGCTCAGATCAAGTCATTGAGTGTGGAGTGTCGCAAGGAACGGTGCTTGGACCTATTATATTCAATATGTATATCAATATTGATGCGAAAGCGAATATTATCAGCTTTGTCGACGACGACACCGCCCGTCTATTGCGTGGCAAGAATAGGAACATTTTGAAATTTATCGCCAAAAGGGAAATGGAAACTTTATTTCATTGGTAAACAGTAAACTTTTCTCAGGCCCACTTCATTGCTTTTTCGATTTAAAACAACAACTTTTCCAAATATAATAAAATTACAGTTAATATTAACGGCAATATCATTGGCATCGAAAGGGGAGAACATATAAAATATCTAGGCCTCATTATAAACCAAAATCTTAGATGGCACAAACACGCTGAATACGTAACAAAAAAATTGAATACTTGCTTGGGGTGGGATAGTTAATAATTATATTAAAAACCTAGAAGTGACACAAAAATGGCTGTTGAAGATAATGTATAATAAAAGCTACAGATTTCCGTCAGATGAACTCTTCCAACAATCTAAGCTATTTATAATCGATCAACTGTACTTCTTCAATCTTACCATCACCAACACAAGTATGAACTACCCCAAATAGACTATCCATACAATACTCGACTGAAAAACTAAACAAGTAGAATACCAAAGGTTGGAACTACAAAAAACCAAAGATTCCTCTCTTGCCCGATAACTTACAGAAAAATCCCAAATGGAATAACAGCACTTAATAGTCGTTACCTATGCAAAAAGAAGTTGAAGGTATGGATTCTAAAACAGCCCCCCGAACTAATTCTCGAAGCTTTTCAAAACAAGTTCAATACAAATTTGACCCTAACAACACATAGGCACAGAAAACTTTTAAAGTACATTTTGTACAACTTGAACTGCCTCAAATATACTGCTTATATTTGATAACATCAACAGAGATTTATAAAAAAATCAACAAAAAAAAATTGATTATTATCTTTGTGGGCGCCGAACTTTACCTATACTCCCATACTCAATTCACTTTCATTGTTATATTTTATTATCATTGATCTGAACTTATAGTGTACAAAACACACACAGGGCTATTCAAATTCGTTGCTGTACATGGGGATCTCGTAAACGATAAGAGATAGAGTGTCGGTTGAATGGTGGCGAAGTTGTGTATTTCAGAGACCTATTCAATGATGTAAAATCGAATATAGCTCTTTTGCTTCTGGAGATATACAGGAAAAACCAAAACATCCTGAATTACTTTTTTGCCTATATCTTCTTTATTCGCAGACATATTGAAAATCAGTCCACATTTTGCTATCGGCACTTGATGTGGGCTCTCAGAATATATCCATGAATCTTTTATACAGGGTGCCATCTGACTTGGGCCACCCCTATCTATGAATTTTTACATACGGACCTGTATTTTTTGTTGTAGTTTTTGGATCATAGACGTCCATTTCATACTGAGAAATCGAATTCAATTTTATATTTTGAGATGTTTCGGTAATATTCGATTATAATTGTGTATATTATTCCCTTTTAAATTATGGCCCTGGAAATTGATTGACTGAGTTGAATAAAAACATAATAGCAACTTTTACGTCTCCCTATGTATCGTAGAGTTTTTCGGGAGTTTTTTCTCATTTTTAGGTACCTATTCATGTTTTTTCCATTGCTCTGAGCGTTTTCTACAATGAACTTCGAATAAGAAAACCTTTTATGATTATTTGAAACATATCCACATCAAAAATATATTATATGTCTTTTAATAAGCAGAAAAAGAAAAGAAAGCAATAATAACATTCCAAACGAACAATATAATTGTAATGAAAATTAGAGAAGTAATTTATATAGGTACCCAAAAAAATTATTGGCGCAATAAATGTTCGAATTCGAGTCCTTCCATTTCGAGACATTTTTAAACTTTGTTTTCAATATTATTTATTGACCCTAATACACTTATTTGCTACATTGTTACGAAATCATTCAAAATCCCTAATCTCGAGTCTTTCACATTTTCTATCACTCTGCCAGCGTAAATCCTATTTTTCAATGTCCCCCATAGAAAATAGTCTAAAATAGTATGATTTGGTGATCTTGCGGACCATCTCCAATTCGAACATTTATTGCAAAATTAATTTTTTTGTGTATCTAAATAACTTACTTCATTTAAATTTTTATTATAATCATAGTGTTCGTTCCGAATGTTATTATTGCCACCATTTTTTTTTCTGCTCATCAAAACGCATATAATATATTTTTGTTGTAGATATGTTTCAAATAATCATAAAATGTTTTCTTATTCGAAGTTCATTGTAGAAAAATATGAATAGGTACCTAAAAATTAAAAAAAACTCTAGAAAAACTCTACGGTACATAGGGAGACATGAAAGTTGCTATTGTGTTTTTATTCAACTCAGTCAACCAATTTCCAGGGCCGTAATTTTTAAGTGAATAATTCACAAAATTATAATCGAATATTACTGAAAAATCTCGAAATATAAAATTGAATTTAATCTCTCAGTATGAAGAGAACGTCTACGATCCAAAAACTACAACAAAAAATACAGGTCCGTATTCAAAAATTCAAAGATGGGGGTGGCCCAAGTCAGATGACACCTTGTATAAAAGATTCATGGATATATTCATGGATATATTTTGCTAACAGCAAAATATGAACAGATTTTCAATATGTCTGCGAATAAAGAAGATTGATCTCTTTACATCATTGAATAGGTCTCTAAAATACGCAACTTTGCCATAATTCAACCGACACTCTATCTCTTATCGTTTACGAGATCCCCATGTACAGACACGACTTTGAATTGCTCCGTAAAAAACTGAAAAACACGCTTTCAAAGGACATCGAGCTGAAAAGTTAAAATAAATATAGTTTAAAAAAACTAAAAGACACGCTTTCAAAAAACATCGAACTGGAAAGTTGAAAATATTATTCTTTAAATAAGCTTAAAACAATAACGATCGAAAAATACTAGTATTATTGTGAAGAAAGCGTGGGCCCTAGATATACAAAAAATATGGCACACTACTACATTCATCAGCATCGTTTTAGTTGAAATCTTGTTCTTGATTCACTACAAATGTACTTGAAAAATACTCGATTTTATTTAATTCATTTTCGATGTGTTTAATGGCAACCACAAATATCTAATTCCAGCTACAATCAACTTCATCGTTTGTAGTTTGAGGACAATTGTTGTTCCATGATTTTTAGTCTTGTTATAGTAGCTTTTCTGCTATAGTTCAAAAGAATATAAAATATAGTGATATTTTGTTGTTACTACAATAAACTACAATCCATTTAGAACCTATTTCAGAATATTTTGGCACATTATTACTCATCCTTCGTAGTTAGAATAATATCAATAGTGCTTTCTCAGTAACCGATAAGACTACAAAAAAATTAACATAACTACTACTAGTTTGTAGGTAAAGTAGGCTAAAAAAAAATTGATTTTTTTCAAAGCGGGTTCCAGTGTGACGGAGCTGTTACACAGCCGTAATATTGAGCCATCGGAGATATTAACTTAGGATATATGAACATTTGAGGAAGCTAGCCACACGCATCAGCGAAACGTCGAGAAGAAACTGACCTTCAAACCTGGAAAATAGTGAAACTGAAAACCTCGGCCGCGAAAGTTCTAACCATTTTGTCGAGACTGATAATTTTGAAGTATTCTCTTCAACGATAATTCCAATAACCACTGGCTAGCATCTATCCAAATGTTTCGTTACTTGCAAATCTGAACGTGACAAAAAACTGACAATATCGTTAAAGTTCTTGAAAATTACGCTCTACATACGAGGGTCAAACGGGACAGCTCTTATCACTGCCCTCAAACAACGTTTCTGTATGAAAGATATGTTTTTGCTAGAAACCCCCAAAATTTGTCTTGTGCATGCCGCTCAGCTTTTACTAATAGCAATCGTTGGAATAGCTACAAGGACAAATTAGTGTTTTTGTTCCTTTGTTCCAGACTTATCCTCCCTTGCTGCCACGCATCCAGGCCCTCGATCCAAAGGTACCTTTTTCCAGGGTTGGACTAGCATTCAAAATTGAATTTCAGTTGAGCTAGCGAGATGGATTCAAAACATGATATCCAGAATAATATATTTAAAGTTTTCCATTGAGTTTTTTCATTTGAAAATATGAGCGCAAGGAATGATTTTTATGAACTCGTTGCACTATAATTTTCTAGATTTTGTTCTTTCCAACCATGACTCAAGCCGTGAAAGACCACATTTCTTTAAAAAAATTTGTGCTTATTGATGAATTAATTTATTCACGAACTACAAATTCACGCAGAGTCATATATAACTTCACACTTGTTTTTTAAAATCAACATTGTTATTATTCCATATCATTCTTTCATTCCATTGTGTGTAGGAAGGTGGAAAAAGTATAGAAATCAATACAGTGAGTAATATACATTGACGGAACGGCAGTTCAATTCATCGATAATAACCATAATATAGGCTAAATAATTGTGAGATCGATTTGCCTTCTTCGTGATAAGAATCATTCTGCTATGTAGTAGATTATTTTGGGAGTGCAAGTTATTATAATCAACAATGTAGAATAGATTAACAATAGAAATGACAATGACAGATGCATAATGTTATCAATGAATCGAAAAATAAAAATAAAACTCTGTATGTTTCTTAACCACTTTTATTTGTAATTGATGTCACTGCAGTTTCGTCCTGTGAGGACATTTTCAAACAATTACAATTAACGGAAAATAAATCATAATATTAGCTCTACTGAAGGTAATTAAAGAGGTCCTCAACTCAATTGAATATCTAAAATGTGTTAACCTGTGACAATGTGGTTACGCTAATTTGAAAACTGGTGACTGATTCAGATCGATCATTCAGCAGATTACATCCGCAATGCCCATTCTCATGATTTCGTATAATTGAGTTTCCAACCTTTTCTCAATCAATTGAAATTCTTGGAAATTCATGAACATGAACATTGCGATAGTAACCTGCTGAATGATCAAATCAATCAATTTAAAACATTTAAAGTCATTTATAATTAGGAGTAGAAAAAATAATCATGTCAGCCACCTTATTTCAACGGATAATGGTATCTCAAGAATCATTACTGATTATCAAAATTCCATCTCACTAGCTTCAACAACTTTTTGATGTGGCTCAGATAAATTAGTTCATTGGGAAATAAATTTTCATCACGCTTTTTGGTGTCAGAAGAGTTACAATCATTTTCAATTCAGTTTATCCATTATTCATCCTATTTCACTCTTGTAGACGATGAGCTATAATTTTCACGACGACTTATGAAGAGATTACCATCACCATCAAGACTTCCATAAAGGCCAGTCTTGAGAATTCAGCAATATATTTTTTCCTGGGGTTACCTTTGACTAGCCTATTTTTATCCAAGTTTCCCGAAAAACACTCCAACCTCAGAGGATCATTGCTTTATTCTTTTTCCACCTATTGTTTTTTTACGTCTCAACTATGATTGTCTGAGAATTGCTTGCCTCCTGTAATCCTGTTTCTCATATCAGCACAAGACACAGTCACTAGCTGGGATTTGTTATTTAGCATCATTTTGGTTAGATTTCCTACTAATGGACAGTATCAAATGGGTTACTCTGTTATTATTCTGAGCCAATCCATGTTCTTGTGGAGAAGTTCCTCTGTCCTTTTCTTATGCGGTGTTTTATAGTACATTTTATCAAAATTCCATATACTTTTCAATGACTAATTTCTTGATTTTGTACCATAACTAAGCTTATATTCACACAACTTGTATGTGAAGCAGACATAACGACTGGTTTCAGTACCCTCTTTAATTATTGAGTATCTGAGTAACAAGTCAATGTGAGATTTTGATTGCAATAAAAAAGCTTTTTCAGGCGTGGTTACTATTCACAAACGGAATTCCACCTTCTTAGTGCTTTTTCAATTTGACTTCCACTACCTACCCAATAACTGGAATTTCACACTACCAGAGTTTTTCGATTAGAAATACAATAAAATGAACCTACCCGAATTAACGGTTCCATCAGCTGCCGCCTCCAAAAATCTCGCCTACCGGTAGTGGCGCAAAAATACCAGTGCCAAAAGCTGAACTGAGTTTGTTGATGCTCACAACAACTGCAAAGTTGAGATGAATGAGAGCAGATAACTTCACATTCAGAGAAATAGGAATAAACTGCTTGCCAATTCCAACGGCTAGATCCTTCTGGTCGGCAGCTGAAGCTGTTAATCAAAACTTTACAAAATCCATGATTCCACCACTGACACAATCGGATGGTTCAATTGCAACAACAGACATAGAAAAAGCAAATCCACTAGCTAGCTAATTTGCATTCCACTCCACAGTTGATTTTCTGGAAAAGGTCCAACCCGCTATTCCCTTTGACCGTGTATAGCATGAGGGTTTGCTGACCAAACTTTGATGCTATGGCTTGTCGGATCATTTTTGTGTATAGCTCTGTAGCTTCCTGGCCGTCGATGGATATATCTCAAATGATTTTTCCAATAACGCTGGTTTTTTCCAAAGATCCATATTGTCTCCAACTCTTTTTTTTACTGTATATCAACTAGTCATTCGAAAAAACCACGAATCCAATATATTGCTTTACTGACGACAGCACACTTGTCTTGCCATTCCATTGGAAATCCAGGACATCGGCTACGGAGGCTCATCTTCACCGGCAGCAGGAGATTGCTGAGGAGGATTTGAAAATGATTTCGAATCAGGGTGAAAGTAACCAGGTTCAATTCAATGCCACAAGAACCCAGGCATCGGTTTTCTCTAAAAATATAAATGTTTAATTATAATTAATTAATAGACTTTTCCAAAGCTCTCGATAGAATATGCCATCAGCTTTTAATTGCCTTATTAAAATATCTTGGATTTGCGAACTCTTCTGCTGGTCTTATTGATAACTATTTGAACCCAATGTGTTATTTGGGATAATCAGCCTTCAGATTATCTTGGAGTTTTTGCAGGTGTCCCTCAAGGGTCTATCCTTGGCCCTGCATTATTCGTGATATATACGTCACAATTTCCCAGATGTCTGAAGTATACTAAAATTCACAGTTACGCAGATGACACTCAAATCTATATGCACTTTCCTAAAAGTTCACTGGCAAAAGCTTGCCAACAAATCAACCACGATCTGAATTCGTCATTACCCACCCCTAAAGAATACTGTCTAACAATCAATCCTTCTAAAACTGTTGCCATGCTATTCGGGAGGACAGCAATGAGAAAAAGATGTCAAAATCAAGTTTCGATTTTTCTTGATAATGTTCATCTTAGTTTGTCTGAGAGCACTAAAAATCTTGGTCTCACAATAGATCAGTCTCTCAGATTTCCACCTCATGTTTCACTAATCCTGAAGAGGGGATATTGCAGCTTGAAAACTATATATTCGAACAGGGAGATTCTCAATAGACAGTCCAAGAAATTGCTGTGTGATGCCTTGGTACTATCTCACGCAAACTATGCGGATACTGTATATGGCTCAAGTTTGTTACAGTCTGACAAAAGCAGACCACAAACTTTGCAGAATTCTTGTTTAAGACTTATCACTGAAACAAAAAGTGACAACCTATTTCTCATCATTTGAGTAGTCTAGGATGGTCGAATATGGAGGCCCGAAGAATATTCCACTCTTGCATTTCATTTCATAATATAATCTCTACGAAAGTACCGAGTTATCTTAACTCTTAATTAAGTTATCGAGTTATCTTTACTTAATTATTTCGATGCTCCTTTTCATATAATATATCTCGGCTGTATAATCGACTCCCTGACACATTGAACTCACTGTCGCTTGCAAAATTCAGAAAAAAGCTGAAAGATGATTTACTTTTGAATGAATTTCTTCTACCAAATTTATTGTCTAGCTGTAAATGATGATCCACTTATATATGTGTGTATATGAATGCCTATGTGTATATACATGCAAATATCTGTTCCTAGGTAAAATGATTAGCCAATATTTTTCTGTTTCTTCACTAGTTTTCATTAACGTTTTGTAGGCGAATTATTAGTTAATATTTTTCAATTTTTTTTCAATTGTTTTTTATATTGTCGTTCATTGAACGAAATAAGCATAAGTGGTTAATGATTAGAATTCATTTGTAATTATTGTTATGAAGACGGTTGAATGGAAGAGCAAGTTCTGATTGCGTTACTCAAATGACAAGATCATAACCTGAATTCTGCCTTTTGACAAAAATGTAGGATATCATTTGAAAACTGCCTGTTTTTTTTTATATCTACTATATGTTGTATTGCATTTTGTCAATGAAAGCAATCATTATTATCATTTTTATTATTATGTTTCCAATCTCGATATAAAAATGACGGGACAGGAAATTCCGCTTTCTGCTTCGATGAGTGAGTTGGGGATTAAAATGGACCAACATGTCTTGGCACGTTCATGTCGCTGAAATTGCGGAGGCTGCTCCTCAAAAGTTTGGAATACTGTTACGAATCAGAAAACTAAACAAAGCCCAGCAACTGTTGATGCCTTTTCAAGCTCAGATCAGTCTTCTTTGGAGTATTGTTGTCATGTATGGAGCTCCACCTCTGAGCATACCTTGAAGCTGCTGGATTCCATCCAGAAAAGAGCCTTTCGCCTGATTGAAGACGCGAACATCACTTGCAACTTTGATAGTCTGGAACACCGAAAAAAGGTGGGAGATTCGTTTCTCTCCTATGGATACTTTCACGAGAAATGTTCAAGTGACTTGGCATATTCGAGCGTTACATATCAGAAATACGCGAAATGTGGCTACTCATCGTTTTGAGGTACAACTCAGTACACTTCGAAGTTCACTGTTTGAAAACTGTTTCATTTGGAGAACTGAGTTTATATGGAATAAACTTCCTGAGAACGTTTTTCCAAATGTATTCAATTTCCAGCAATTCAAATCTAATGTGATTCGCCACTTTCGTACAGGAACCAGTCTTAGAGTGACTTCAGGGTTTTCCTGTAGTGCTTGTATTTTGTCCTTGAAATATGTTATT